CTAAGTAAAGGGCCACATGTCAAATTCTTCAAAAAATAACTTTATTTATAGTGGCAGTATGAATGGAATATGTAATTATCTGACAGAAATGTGTCACATTAACACAAAACTGATTTTTAAAAATATTATTAAGTCAAATTTACAAGTCAAATTAATTTGCACTGCTATTTATATTTACTTATCAACTATCATTAAACAATAAAATAATCCATTATGATATATAATAATAATAATGTAATATTTTTTACAGTGGAGAATAGAAAAGATATTGTCTGATAGAAAAAAATATTAACACATTAAAAATAATTCTTAAAGTTTACTACTCAGTCAAATTTACAATAATCTAATTTGCACTGCTTTTAGAATACAGATCAATCATCATAAAACTTGATGAAACCACAAATCTTTAATAAAATAACTTTTTTAAAGTGGATGTATGCAAGAAAAAAATATTCTATGACAAAAATTACCACATTTAACCAGCAATTATTATATAATTGATGTCAAATGTAAAACAAATCTCATTTGAGCTTTTATAGATATGCTCATATCAATCATAAAACTATGAGATAAAACGAAAGAAGAATCTTAGTCTTTTTTATTCCAAGTCATGTTATTATGAGTGTGTTAATGTGAACAATAAGCCTGGTCCCCTCTCTTTGCAAAGAGTGTCAAAGTCTAGAGTCTGCTACAGTAAAAACATGGGGCGCAGCATGCGGATAAAACACAAAGCGCAGGGCGCATAAGCAGCGCGCAAAACCCTCATGGCCATTAGTAAACCATTCAAAAGAGGCGCCTCTTAACACATAATACATGTTCAGTGTGATCAGCCCCTTGTAGTCTTTAAACAGCTATACATTCTTGGCATAGTAGACCTACCGCTTTCTGTCCGATATTGGTGAAGAAGTATTTTGTTATCCATTTATCCTTAAACACACGACATTCAGAGTCAGTTTTTTTCCGCCTGAATCATTTTCAGTCATTAACAGTCGAGTGCATTTTAATGTCCAAGAGTGGGTTATAATTCTACGGGTTGCACTAACTGTACCGTGTGCAATACTGCCATCACATGGCATTTACTTGTAATTGCATCAATAAATTACTAATTCTGAACCAAACCATTATTAGCAGCATTTTAAAAACTCCATCGCAGGCTGGATTAAAGTGTTCTGTAGCGGGCCCTAGTTTGCCCACCTCTGGTTTGAAATCTTCTGACCCTGCCAGAACATCATCGGAGAAAAAATCTGATCATAACGGCCTGTTAGTGAACGTGTCAAACCCACAATCAAAGATCACCGATTTTAGCCTAAGATTTTAGGAATCTTTTGGAATTTCCCAAAATTGTTGCTGAAATCTCACAGTGTGAGCATAGCTTCTGTCTTCAGCACAGTTTTACTGATGATTCAGATGTATCAACCCTAAACCCAGGGCAGAGCGGCTCAGTGAATGTGGTCTGGACTGAGTGGATGAGGCTCATTGTGTCTCTATAGATGTTGTAGAAGATCAGAGTTCCTGCACTGTGATCCACAAACACTCCTATTCTCCTGCTGAGCAAATCCACTGGGAGATCAGTGTGTGTATTATTGTGTCTAAATGTGAAACTGGAGGAAGAGCAGATCAAACTCCAGGACTGAGCATTAGATCCAAACACACACTCTTCACCTCCTCCCTTCCTCCTGATGCTCTTATATGACACTGATATACACGCACTTCCACTCCATCTCCCAGTAACAGCGTCCACACACACTCTCTCTGCACAACACCTGAGGCCAATAATCAAATCTGTCTGGATGATCAGGATACCACTGTTTCTCTCTCACACATTTCACCTCTCTGTTCTCCTCAGACAGAATGAGTTGAGTGTGTGCTGTGTTTGGATCCAGAGTGAGGAAACAGATATCTGAACACAAGAACACACACATTTATAACCAAACAACACTCACTACAGCACTGTGTGTGTGTGTGTGTGCGTGTGAGAGAGAGAGAGACAGTAGCTATGTTTCCATCTAAAAATGCAAATGAACTTTATGCGCAAAACTGGATTATCGTATAAAAGACATGCAAATTAAGCAGTGTTTCCATCCAACAAGTCAAAGCGAACAAAATCGTCACTTCCTGATTAACTGGCACCAAATGTCAACAGTAAAAACTGAATTTGCTGCAGTAGGAGAAGCTACGTTAATCTTTTCTTCATCTAATAAATGACTTGCGCCTCAGAAGGCAATCCTGACACGCAGTGAACGCACGGTGGCGTTTAAAGGTGTCAGACGCGGAGCACAGACGCTCTTGATTCTGGAGGTCATTAATAATATAATAACACTAATACTTAATCGGTAAGGCTTTTTAGAATGACCAAAACAACATTTCAGATGTCCTACAGTGTGCTCAGCCTGCTGGTTTCTCCATTTACACACATTATTATCATCAAATGATCTCTTTTAACAAATTACATGACCTTTTTTTAATGCACATACTGAAATTTGTGCGCTTTAAGTGTTTCCATCATAGTTTATGCACATCTTTTCTAACAGAATAAAAAGTTCATCCTATTCAGTTATGCTAATATGTTTTTTATGCGCATTTTCTAAATTTATGCACATCGTAGCATTTCCATTAACTGTTTTTATGCGTATATCCAAAATGATGTTTTATAAACTAATTTTAGTAGGAGCACGATCAGTCTTTGAATAGGCTAATTCATCACAGACAATCATTTTATTATCTAATCAGCTCAAGATCAAACCCCTATAAATAATCAAACACGTCATACTTCTGTTTTCTTTTGACTTCAGCATCCCTCGTGTGGATGTGTCAATGTCTACCCCATTATTTCCTCTATGTCACAGTGTAAAACTAAAAGACACTGTGACTAACAAACACACATCACATTGCACTCATACATAAAATACATACTTTTAAACATGGACCTTTGTGTTATTTGTATTGTGCATGTGTGTGTTTGTGTAATGTGTATATGTTGTTTTTTTTCTGTCATTTACTTGATTAAGCTGAACAAGCCTGTATATACATTGTAAATATTGAATAGTTTATTTTTCTTTATTGTTATTTTGTCACTTTCAACTTTTTGCTGGATTTTTGTTTTCACTTTGTGTAAAATAAATCACTCTTCACTTTCACCAGCGGCTTCTGTGACACTTTTTTGCCTCCATCCACCCGGTCAATCGTAACACTCTAAGTTGCACAAAACTGGTGTCATTCGTTTGTGCTGGATTTGTGCCGTTAAAATAAACACTGTATTTATTTTTTATTGTTTAGATATTGCCTAATCAAAACACTTCAGGAGCCGCGACGTCACTGCCAAATACACACTATTTGTCAAAAAAAAAGCATGATATCTCTGACCCCAAACCAGCACAAACGTACATTTTTGCGGTATAAATCAGCACAAACAAAGCACAAACGAATGGCATAGTTTTAGGGTTAATTTGTTTTTATGGGGTCCTAACTTCACGGAGGTGTTAGAGTGTGTTCTATAGCTCAGAGCCCTCTCTCTGGACAGCATGCCAAACACGCATATTCTATTCAGTCAAATATCTGTGAGTGTGAACTCGTGAAATGCACATAAAAATAGCTGGATAGAAACATAGCTAGTCAGAGAAAGTCTGTGTGTGTGTGTGTGTGAGTAGTTCTACATTTGTGTGGTCCTGCTGTAATCCTCGTGTGTCCTCCATGATCCAGACTGTAAACACAGACAGATGGAGAGTATGAGCTGTTTAGTTTTAATTTCATCCTCAGATAATAAGCTAAAGCTTATGGAATAAAATCACTGTCATAAATATTTTGTGCGCAAGTAAAATTCATGCATCTGTAATTGTAAAATCATAAAAGAAAACGGAGCGTACCATAGCTCATACCTGTCAACATTGGGATGTAAAAATAAGGCATATGCCCACCATTATAGGAGACCAACCCACCCCTCCAAAAAAACAAAAAATCAGCTTATTAAAAATAATAGCTATTATAATGAAATAGAATCACGCTATCATTCTCATTAGCTGTTTCTCCACTGTAAAACTTCCACATTCTGATGAAAGAGCAACGAATGAATCTCTCATTTATTAAGATTTGTTTTTATTACATTAAATAACAGGTGTCACTTTAAAAATGCACACATCTAACTTTATAATAAAATCATTCGACTGCTTTCCTAAGTTTTTATGCTCATTAAAGACGAAATTAGTTGTGTTTGGGGAAAAAAACACCAAGATCGACATATATGTTTTTATTTTTAAGTATGTGTGTATGTCTGTTTAAACCCGCACCCAAAAGCCAGACTTTCTCTCCGCTTCAGATCGCCTGTACAGAATCCGTTTGGGAAACAGCATCTGTTTATCACTATGGAGCGCATGAGCTGACAGTCATGCACCATTATATGACTGTTTTAAGGATTGTATAGGATGGGCAACGGCACTTGTAATCAAAAGAAATGAAATTGCGCCGTTTTTAATATTTATTTATAAGTGTTTTCATTCCTGAACAAAGCGAAAACACAGAAGACTCACATTTTGGAGCAAGGGGCGACCCCTAGTGGTTCGGCAGTATAGGTTGCGTATAGTGAGGCTCGGCTGTCCAGAGAAAGACTGAAAATACGGGAGAAATACGGGAAAATACCTTTACGGGATGATAGCGGGATAGGACAGTAAAATATGGGAGAATCCCGGGAAAAACGGGAGGGATGACAGGTAAGCCATAGATATATACATTAGATGTCGCCTACCCTGTTGTTATCTATTGGAAGGAATGCGTCAATAGAGCCGCCATTTTAGTACAGGGTAGCGCTCCTTTGAAATGAATAACGGACCAAGCTGCAATGGAGGACTGCGGCCATTTAGAGCCAGAGATATACGCATATATACATATATCTGTGATCAGGATTTTTCCTGGAGGTCAGTACGCAATTTATTTTTTAAATTACTGAAATTATAATTTCACATCACTTTTCTACATTGATGATAAGTGACCGCACAAGCATTCCTGACAAAAAGCTTTTGTTTGTGTGTATGGAAATGTACTATATACCCTCCCTGTTAAATTTGATCTAATTCGAGTCCTGAAACACACCCCCTCTCCAGTGGTGTAGCGCAAAATGCGGGGGGCCTCTCTGTATGGATTATTATGATGGTCACGGAAATTATGCTCAGTTTGAGGATGGGGGAGGGTAGGGGGGTGTTGTGACAGTTAGGGTTTTGCTTTTCCCAGCCCTGGGCATAGGACGATTACACACTGAATAACAAGGAGGCCCCTTATCACATGTTATAGTTTCTGGCACCGCAGAAACTTACATTGTTTGCTGATTTTATTCAACAGAACTAGCATAAGTGAAGTATTTAGTGTGATTTGGTGCTACTTTGCCTAATGCTGAATGCAGTAAGTGACTTTTATCATCAATAACGCAACCTGTTAAGCACAAAAGTTCATAACATACAAAAACGTAAAAAAACTAAATCTTACCTATGAAATGTTTTGCCTTTGTGCTTTGTTTGCCTGTTACTAAACCCGTAGACAGCGCTGAAGTCCAGCATCTTCACGTATTAACACTGGCTTTATATTGAGGTTGAATGATGTTTGTCCTGGGAGCACTGTACAAATGTGGCGGCGCTGTTGACTCATGATCTGTCTCCATATGCGATATCTGGTGTATATATGTATAGGTGCATTCTCAGAATTTTACAGGGGGGCAATTCTAAAATCTGTGATTAAAAGAGACACAGATACAACATTTTCTATGTCTGTTTGTATATGACTGAAACATTTACGATGGGTGTACTTTACAAACACCAAATACAGTTTCACCACAGACACAAAGACCTGATTACAAGTACCAATCAAACAGCAACTCCACTGTCAAAATTACGTCACCGCTATCACAGACATTAATAAACAAGCGAAAACCATCAATCACAACAGAGCACTTACTGGACCATCCCAGCTAAGAGTTCTGTTATTCCCTCTTTGAGGAATGACCGTCATGAACTGTAATAAAGGTGGAGACTTAATGAGGTCCATTTTCACTGTGTTTCTTTGACATTTTACAGAATCAAAATTAAGAACGAGACGAGGATAGTGAGCACAATGTACGTTAACGTTTCAAACAGCGAGCGCAAAGTTTCTCAATGAATCATTTAACAGTGTTTAACTAACATGACATCTGCTGATTAATTAATGTAATGTTTTAATGGTAGTGTTTTATCAGTCATATACAAACAGACAAAAAAAAATGTCATATCTGTGTCTGTTCTAATCGCAGATTTTGGAATTGTTGCCTCGTAAAATTATGAGTACGCTCCCTTTTCCTTTACGATTTTACAATTACAGATGCGTGAACTTTATTTACGCACAAAATATATATGACAGTAATTTTATTCCATATAGCTAGCACTAAGGCGACACAGTGGCGCAGCAGGTAGTGCTGTTGCCTCACAGCAAGAAGGTCGCTGGTTCGAGCCTGGGTAAGTTGGCGTTTCTGTGTGAAGTTTGCATGTTCTCCCTGTGTTTGCGTGGGTTTCCTCCGGGTGCTCCGGTTTCTCCCACAGTCCAAAGACATGCGGCACTGGTGAATTGGGTTGGGTAAACTGTTCGTAGTGTATGAGTGTGAATGAATGTTTCCTAGGGATAGGTTGTGGCTGGAAGGGCATCTGCTGTGTAAAAACATGCTGGATAAGTTGGCAGTTCTTTCGGCTGTGGCGACCCCAGATTGACAAAGCCGAAAAGAAAATGAATGAATAAATAAAAGCTAGCACTGAGCTGCTCAGCTACACGCTCCAAACAACATTCAACAACAACATTCATTTATTACAGTGATCACACTTAGCTTTGCCATCGTTCTTCAGCACATGCAGCCTTTGAGCACATGTTGCAGTCCATCTCTAAACTATGTTCAGATTATTAAAGATGCTCGCCAGCACCCAAGTTCCTGACAGATTAGCAAGTGAAAAATACACATGTGTGCACAGAGAAGAGGAATCCAGATGCTGATTTTAGAACAAGAGTCTGAACATTAATCCAAGTGTCTGATTCCAGAATCTGAATCCATCTTCAATCCCCAACCCTATTCCTGACCTGATATTGTAGGATTCTTCAGCAGAAATGGAGGAAGAAGTTTCTCTGCTCAGCTCAAATGCTGAAACTGTACAGTGTGTCCCGCTTAATGTCACTGTAAATGAGCCAATACACAGCAAATTCATTGGTGTTAAATTTCTAGTGTTGTGGTAATTCAGAGTAAAGTGTTAAAATTCTAGAGTTAGATAAAGGCAAAATAACCCTCTGTTACAGAGTAACATGTATCTACCTTTGTAGAAAAACCTTGTATTTGAGAAACTAATCAGAGTGTCTGAAATCTCGCCACACCCTTATTCACCTGGCCCTTAAACTAGTCAATTAGTTTAGACCAGACAGAGCGAACGACCACAAATAAGTGAATTCAGACACCTGCTGTTGAACACCTGCTGTTAACAAGCACAATCACTGAAGGAATAAGAAATTGAAGGAAGAAATAAAACTACAGACAGAGCCTCACACCAAACCAACTGAATTAAAACAGAGGATTAAACAACTCCATTAAATAATAGCATAAGCAGCTTCACTGATTACAGTTTGACTTCATTTCTGTAAGAATATTTTTTTATTAAAAATATTTCATTTGACCTCACCATCATGGAGATCAGAGGCTTCAGAGATCAAGGCTTATTTGAGCTCTTGAAGCTTTACGCTTATATCCTAATAATAGTTTCTCTGACTGTTATAACTGTGTTTCTTAAACTCATCAGTTATAGCAAGAAAGATTAAGAGAAACTATACTGTTTATGCTTTAATGTTCTAGATATAATTTCAAGTGTTTAATAAGTTGATTGATAGAAATATGCAAATATAGTTGTATTAAAGCTGCATAGGACAATACTACTGGTAGTCTGCTGCTCTTCATAGAAGATACAACAAACAATTAGGATGCAATTAATAATTAGACTGTCATGCACTAAACATTCAAGCTCCAGCTTGCTCTTTATGACACACAGGCATCAAGAATCAGGATATGAACCTCAACCGTGGTTGCTAAAAAGAAAAGCTGCATAGTTCATGCCGCAATGCATGCTGGGTACCAGCATAGTACAAAGCTCCCAGCATGCATTGCAGCATGAATAAATTATGCAACTTTATGTTCTTACAATCTCTTTCTTTTCCTTTATTTTGTGTTGTTTTTGGGAGGTCATGTTTCAGTAGAGTGTTTTTTTTTTTTACTTGATTTTTATTTTTTTGTTTGTCACCATCATTGAGATTCAAAGACTAATTGTTGATGTCTGTGTGTTTTTGAGTTCTGCCATAGATCAAACATTCTCATTGTAAATGGTGTTTTTAAACCTGTTATAAGGTCATTAATTGTTGGAGCTTCAAGTGGTTTCAATTATGTATATTATTTATTTCTCACACATAACTAATATGATACTGAATTTAAAAACAAGCAGGAAAGGATGCTATGATAAATAATCGCTTCAGACTGACACTTTTATTTTAGCTTTCCATGCTATATGTATAAATAGTGTGATTAACTATAACAGCCAAAATAAAAGACATTTATAGCAAAAAAAAAAAAGTTGAAGAGCCTGACTAAAGCAGACTCTGTTCACCATCATGGTGACTTTAAATGAACAACAGAAATTTCATTAAGAGCTTTTGTTCACATGACAGAAATCAAGTCAAAGGTCAGTAATAGGTGAAGCTCCATGATAAGTTGTTTAATGTGTTGGGTTTTTTTAAAGATGTTGAAAAATATTTTTTTTATTGTGTAATTTGTTTTATTTTTATTGATTATTATTTTATTTAGGGTTTTTTTTTAGTTGATTTCATCTTTGGTTTTGGCTTGTGTTTTTCTGTCCTTCAGTGATTCTGCTTGTTAACAGTTGTTCATCAATAATTCTCAATCCTCCTTTAATTAGACACTTAATTGTCTCATTAACTTCATCACTGTCTGAGTGTTCAGCCCTCTGTAGTGAGGACACTAGTTAGGATTTTGCTCTGGAATTTAAGGCTTAAGTGTGTTCGAATAAAAAAATACAGAATATGGGATGTATTTTTAACAGAAATATTCTGAAAACGAATGTATTTACGAATGTAAAATGTTGAAAACAGCAGATTACTGGCAACCACTGCTGCCAGTATTTTGACATACATTTAACAGATATTTTACACAATAAGAGTTTGCTAATTAACACTCTGGGTGTTAAAAATTTTAACACTTTCAAAAGTGTTATTTTAACACTTATAGTGGTTCCCATATAAACACTGAGGGAGTGTTAATTTTAACTCTAAGGTAGTTAAATCTACCAAATCTAAAATTTGCAGTGTGAGATCGATAAAAAATACAGACTGTTGAATGTGCTTTTAACAGAAATATTCTGTAAACTGAATTTATGAATGGTAAAAACAGCAGATTACTGGCGACCACAGCTGCTGGTATTTTTCCGTAAAATCTAAAAAAGAAAAAAAAAAGAAAAACAGCTAAAAGTTTTTTGTGTCACCATTGTGAACCATCTGTTCAAGTCCGAGATGAACTAAGAGTATTTGATGTTATGCTGCATCTTCTTTTCTTTAAAGATAACTGTGTAGTTACTAATGCAGTCAAAATCTGTTTGCTAATTGCAATCACACATGAAAACATCATTGCATCTAAAGACTTTACATTTTTTTGCACTAAGCTATGATTTTGTAAACTGAACATTGTATTAGTTCATGAAATATGGTTATTTTTTTGTAAATTTATACAGTTTAACAAAACTTCCATGTTTTTCACAGAAAGATTCTGGCAACCACAGCTGCTGGTATTTTTTCGGAAATGTAACAGATATTTTACACAATAAGAGTTTGCTAATTAACACTCTCTTGGTGTTGACAATGTTAACACTTTCAAAAGTGTTACTTTTTAACACTTATAGTGGTTCCCATATAAACTCTGAGGGAGTGTTAATTTTAACTCCAAGGTAGTTAAATCTACTATCTAAAATTTGCAGTGTACACTC